CCCCAAAACCCCAAAACCCCAAAACCCCAAAACCCCAAAACCCCATGAAGTTCTAATATAGAGATATTGATACTTAAATAAATAATTATCTCTAACTAGTTAAGTTTGGACTTATTTTGATTTATGATATTAGAGAGGCTTAACTTCCCAGCAAAAACCTTTTATCTTGTATTTCAAGCTAATTGACTTTTCTCCTTCATAAGCCTTTGAAAATGTGTTGGTTTTGTAAGATCAACTTTCTATTTGCTTCATCAATGACTGACTCAGCGAAGTCTTCTTTTGATGTGAGCTTTTAGTCGAAATACTTTAGATCGTCAGTAATCTATGGGAAATATGGAGGAGTTAATTCTTTTTAAAGCAACTTTTCAATATCAAGACCGCTGAAGAATGGATGGTTTAGGATTTCTTAAACTCCTCCCTTAGCACCAAGCCTAGTTTTCTTGTTTTTATCAAGTAGCTTCTTTATGAGGTCTCTAGCATTAGGTGAAATGTTTATGCCATGCTTAACTGGATCTGGGAAATTTACCGGACTCTCCTTGATCAAGAAATACATTCTATGCTTATTTCTGTGGAAGAATGGAGGAATTCCAACCATCATTTCATAAAGAAGGATGCCTAGAGCCCACCAGTCAACAGTATAGTCATGCCCTGATCCTATTAGCATCTCAGGTGCTAAGTATTCAGCTGTTCCACAGAATGAATTCGCCAATTCATTTTTAGTAACCATCTTAGCTAAACCGAAATCAGCTAGCAATAGATAGCCATCCTCTCCAAATAGTATATTTTCAGGCTTTAAATCTCTATATAGAATATTCTTCGAATGCAGGTGGCCTAGTGCGATTGCCACTTGAATAATAAAGAACCTTGCTTGTTCCTCTGCGAATCTTTTAACCTTCACCAAGTGTCTGAATAATTCTCCTCCTCTGTAAAATATAAATTATTTTAATATTTACTTGATGAATCTCATGAGGAAATAAATTCTATAATCGTTTTAGAAGACATAATCCATTCCAACAATGAACGGATGCTCAATGTTGAAGAGGATGTCTTTTTCAAGTTTAATGTTTTCATATTGCTCATTATCAATGATTGTGTCTTTTCTGATACACTTCATAGCATAGATATTCTTTGAATAGACGTTCTCGACTAAAAATACTTTTCCGAATGTCCCTTTTCCTATCATTCTTCTGATTAAAAAGTCCTGCAACTTAGCCTGATCCTTTTGCTTAGTGAAAATAAGTCTTCCGCCCTACCTCATACTCTAAAACCAATCTTTTAATATTTAAAATATTACTCCTCTAGTAGTAGCATCAGGGTTTGGCTCGTCATACTCATCTCCCTCCTCTTCTTCTTCATCATTGGTTGAGTCCATGTTTTTGGACTCTTGATACTAATGATTTCTAAGCTCTACATTCTCCTAGAAGTTCTCCATTAATGTGAAGGTGCTATCAATGATTTCTTATTGAGCTTGAGTGCTTTCATTCTCTCGAAGTAAATCTTCTGTTTTAATTCTGAGCTAATTAGGTGGAAATCTGTTCAATCCTTTCTTGAAATCCTTTTCTGTTGTTGTAAAATCTTTCAAATTGCTCTTATCAATGCCGAAAATTGGCAGATTTTGATTCATCTTCTCAGCAAATCTATGCTTTAGAACATCAATTATCTCATCACGTCTAAAATAAGTTTGTAAGATTTATAGTTATTTGGTTGTTACCTTTCTGACACGAATCTATAATCATATTCCCCATTTACATGAATTGTAAACTCTGCATTTCCTGGAATAGTTGTTTTGGATAGTCCTGCTAATTTCAATATCTAAATCAGTTTTTAAAAGAAATATATCTGTATACATTAATCTTTCTCTTGACTTTATTCTTTTTGATATTGTAAATGTTTTCATTAGTGATGACAAATAACCTTTCCTGTACCCAGTTAAACATGTTAATCTTTTTTATTTTATCTGATAGCAACAGTGACTCTATAGATATCAATTAGACTTATCGATTTCATTGCATTTACCAAGTACTTACCACTCCCAAATAAAGTCATGATCTTAGCTTGCTACTTAACATTCTAGTAATCTTTTATAATTTTGTTTCCTGTTGCCTAAATCATTGTACTCGTATGCTGTTTCGCTCTTAAAGGGCTCAAATCACTAAATTATCTCTGCAAAGAACTTCCGTCAATTGACTTTTTCCTATCATTTATGGTATTAGATAACATTTTAATAAGTCAAAGAACTTGTATAATTTAAGACATAATCACGCCACACTTACCTTCCCTCCATACTAAATATAATTATATTTATAATATATCCTCTTACAAAGAATTTCTCTAAATCTGAGAGATATTTTCTTAAAGGGGTTTTGGGGTTTTGGGGTTTTGGGG